TCTTCCTTTTAAAGGTAAATTCAATAGCAACTTCAAAAAAGAAATAACACAAGCACTATTCAAGTTCATGAACCAAAACAAGCAGGGGTTGAGTTTAAGTTTCATTCAAAATCTATATTCATTTATGCAGCCAATATGAGATAAAATAACAAATTTTTCTCTCTCTAATTATATCTCTTTTAAACAAACCCACAATTCTAATAGATGAGAACTACATGATATCTTTCTCCCCAGAACAGAAGCATGCATTGAAAAGTATATTGTACATTTAGTTATTAATGTTTAAGCAAATTCTTCCTCTAAGGAATGAGCATTGTCAACATTTGGGTAAATGTGCAGTGTTTAAATTTTAATTGTATCCACAAATGTACAGAGACTCTATAAATATAATTGTGTGGCTAAGAAGCTCTCCTGTGAAAGGTTAAATAGGATGACAATAGCAAAGAGGAAAAATAACGGGAAAGAAAGATCCATGTCTGGTAAATACAGCTGGTGCTATTGAAATTGACAGTACCTAGATTACCAAGGGGTAAGAAAGCACTATTTTTGCTTAGAAAATAATAGGACATTGTAATCATCTTCTGGAAGAAGCTATAAAGCTAGGAGGACATGATAGCTGTTGAAAAGCAATTAAGCAGTCTCCCAGAAAAGACAGAATGGATGTGGGAAGAAATGCAAATAGCCTTCCACCCACTCCATGCATCAGCCCTTCAGGAACCATGAACTCTCCTGGAACAGAATGAAGGGCATACCTCAGGAGCAAGGACTTGTACAGCCAGGGCAGGAAGCAAAAGGACCCTATTTGATATTGAGAAAAGGAATTGCCATTGTTCATTTGTAACAAGCCAGTTGCACAATGGAGATTTTCTCTGAACTGTGTTCTCTCCCTGGAAAGTGTGGTGTATATATGTCAGGATAAGCTGGCTTTCTCCTATTTTGCAGATATCCAGCTGTACCTAATGGTTCGTTACAAAACAAATTCACCCCAGATTGAACTCAGAAAACAAACATACAGCTAGATAATTGCTAATGCATTTCAAACATTTGTCATTCTTTCAAAGTTCACCTATTGATTAATATTATCCCTTAGTGTAGGTTTTCTCAACCTTCACACTATTGACATTTGAGTCTGAAAACTGTTCTTCATAAGGGGACTCTCCTGTGCATTATGGGATGTTTAGCAGCATCACTAACCTCAATCCACTAGATGCCAGTAGTGCCCCCATTCAGTAGTGACAATCAAAGGTGTCTCCAGGCTTTGAGAAATGCCTGGGGTGGGAGGGGCGAAAGGGAGGGAGGGAGTTAGGAGTCCATTGTGCCAGGTAAAGAACTGCCCTGTGAGATGAAGTAGAAACCCAGACTTTGTTTTCTTGAATCACATCCCAGTACAATGGTATGGACAGCTCGTGATCTTGAAGATGGGGTGTCTAGCTGCAGACGCCTGGCCCCATGCTTTACAATGAGTGATCTGCAACACCGAGTCCTGTGGCTTTCACCCACCCCATGCCACTTCTGGAGATGTTGGGGATTATATTGTTTTGTAGAGAAATTCCCTCTCTCCACACTCAAGGCGTTATTGCTGCTATTCTCTAAATGAATGAAAATCAAGTACAACCATCTATAAACACTGCAGGACTACATTCAAGACAAACATGCAAATAGGTTTGAAAGTGAAATGTCAACTTTCCCCTAATGTGTGAATTTTCATATTGGTTGAATTTATTAGAAGCTTAGCAATCCAGGCATATAAAGCCCTTATTTATGTCAGGTGTTGAGCAGACTTTAAGGCTGTGTATATTGCAGGGAAGAGGGGTTGTTGGTAGAGTCCATCCCAGGAGACAGTCCTGATATTGTGATTTTGAATGCTGGAAAGGATGCTTAAACCCTAAGTTGCGGACTCAAGTTTAGAAATGTCTCAGTATGCCAGCTCCCAAGCTAACCACTGGATGGCACCCTAGTCCCACCAAAGTTTCTCCCTATAGCTCATGAGTCTGAAAATCTCAGGGTCCACGGAAGCAAATCAAGGTAGAAACTGAGACTAGATTAGATACCACGCAACCCACAAAGGATGTGGCAGGAACTTGTATAGGTTCATAGGTTGCTGTGAGGATGAAATGAAATGAACAGCACCTGGTGCGGAACTGGGGAGCACCCAAAGGCAGTGCACCCCCCAAATGTCCTTGAATGTATTTTAGTGCTGTAATGGACCTCAGGACCTGCAGCATCCTTGAGTATGCTGTGCCTGTATGCAGAGCCAGAACTGCCTGGGGTGATCTCCCTACCCCTACTCTTCATCCACGACCAAAAACCCTTAGTCAATGGAGACAGCCTCCTTGCCTCTGTCTAGGAAGACCCTGAAGTCTCCATCCTCCTCCCTGTCCTCCTGCCCCTTTCTCCCTTACCTGTTTCTACTAGAAAAAAATTCTTTGATATATCTCTGTAAATAAATCCTCATCTCCAGGTCTGCTTCTGGGAACCTCATCTAAGACACCAGCTTGTAGTTGGTGCTCAAAAAACACTGATTTCTGTCCCCTGTGATTTCCATTTGCTTCATGGAACAGTGGCACTTGGAAACACATGTTACCAAGAGTGTCTCCGGTGCCCTTCTGCCTCTTCCTGCAGGACAGACCATCATGCCAGACTATAGCTGACCAGCTTTCTGTCTGCTGTCCCAGTGACCCCGACAGGCTGGTTCCCCGGAAGCTGTGTGTCCCAAGAACTTGTGGTTCTTGGAAGTCAGAGCTGAAGCTTTGCCTGCTAATTCTTTTGTAGTGGCACCAGTAGTGGTAATTTAAGGTTCAGGGAAATGTCTTAGAGCAGATAAAAAGTTCCTGAAATCATTTTACAATGATGAAGGACAAGAAGGAACAGAGAGAAGTGAAAAACCCCAGTGAGGGGGGCTGGGTGGACCACAGGGACCACAACTCAGAGTTTCAGCCTTTGGGGTGTGGAAAAATAAAAGCTTACATGGGCTTTTATTCCCCCCCCCCCACCCCAGCTTGACATATAGCATGGCTCAAAAAATTAGTATTCCCATCTCAACTGATTCATATGGCCAGAATAAATTCACATGCTGAAGCAAATAAGAAGGGAGAGGGAGGGCAAGAAGACACGAGAGGGGAGAAGAGTGGGTGAGATATTAGTAGCACCGACTCATTTTTTACCTCCAAAACACACTGACTTTAGCATCGCCTTTACTTGAGAAAAATGATTAAAACAATTGCTCACATGTGACAGAAAAGGCATTTCCATTTAGAAAAATATTTAAATCATGGATTGGGGAGTATTCTCTGTCTTTGTTAATAATGGGTTAGAACATAGATTATAAAAAGTATGTGGATCAATATGTCATTTTCCTGATTACATTACTGATATACCAGGTCTTTGGAAGGGATGCAGCTCAGAAGAATCACAGTCTGGCAAGAACTTTATGTCACAAAAAAATTGTATTTCAAGGGTAGAACATGGAGTGGTATTAGCTTGCATAATTTCTTTCTGATTTTTTTTTCACCATTTCAGGTAGATGAGGCTGATTGTTGAAAAGGGAGATTTTCTCCCTTGTGCTTGCTATTTCTAATCTCCAGTCATAGCTGAAATAACCCACTCCTTTCAGAAATTTGTTTAAATACCACATGAATGAGCTCAATACTTCTCTGTATTGAATAGGATCCCTGAGGGCACAAGCATCTCCTGGGCTGATGAACAGCACAGAAAACAATGGCCCTCATTCATCTAAGGTCAGGAGTGGGTGATGCTAAAGGTACTGACAACCTTAGAGTTACCTTTCTTGTGAGTTTACAAAACATTCTGGGGTTTTTTGCAACTTGACTGCACAAAAACTGCTACTGAATTTAGTTTCTCTGTGAAAAATGAACTAAGTCAACTGGGACTCAAGTATTTTCCACACAAACTGTCTTAATAAATGGCACTGGGGTGGAGTATGGGTCCTGCAATACCCTGACTTTCTGGCAAAAGTCAACTTAAAACCTGAGAGTTCTGACTACTTCATCAGTTACTTCATTTCACTTAGTTTGAAAAACTTATGTTAAACCTGGTTAGAAGGGTCTTTTGGGGCCTCCCTGGTGGCACAGGCGGTTGAACACCGCACTGTGAAGCTGTCTGCAGCCTCTGCAGTGTGGGTTCGATCCTGGCTGCCCTACGAGAATCCCACATGGTGCAGTAGACCTCTCCTGTCTCGCCCACTGCTCCCTCCAGCAGTGTATTTCGTCAGTCTGCCTGTTCTGTTCCCCGCTCTGTCCCTCCCACACCTCTGTCCTGTACCCTGGTACTTGTATAAATAAATAAATCTTAAAAAAAAAGGGTCTTATGAATTCAAGGTCAGGAATTGAAACGATATGTTTTTCCATCTTAATATAAGATGGGAATTCTGATTTACCTCCCTACAGGTTTGCAGAAAGCAAAGTAGCATTTTCGACCACCTGTCCTAACATGAGAGCTGCAACTTTCAACCCAAAGGGATGCTAGGGGTGCTACTACAGTAGGAACATGCTGCCTAGTCTTCAGGGATGAGGTCACAGCACTTTCAGCAAATCATCAAAGCCCTGCCTTCAATTATCCTTTCTTGCCAATTGCAAGAAATATTTGTTCGTGGGAAGAAGACAAGAAAAGGAATTCAAAACCAGCACTCTGAAAACAAGATGTCCTACTTGATACAGGGCAGCAAGGGGCACTAAAACTGGCCAAGGACACTGCCCAAATAGTTTACTGTCTGAATTCCTCACCCACATGCACAATTGCAAAACTACTGAGGTCCAGAGAACAATATGGCATTTACTTAGCAAACCAGGGGAAACAAAGAGTTACTGAGGTCACAAATAGCTGTTTACCTCACCTGAAGCAGTGTCAGGTGTTTTAAAGTCCTAAACACAAACACTCCCAAGTTGTTGTCTTCCCACTACTGAGCACCTGGAGCATGTGGCAGCCATGTTGGACCGGGATCCAACTCACAAAGACAGCAGAACACAGCAGGAGATACTCACCGGAGCTGCCGAGATGCCCCAGCACAGCACCTGACAAGCCACACTCAAAATAGCAATTTCAGCGACCAAATGATCTGACAAATGGCCACACTCACGCAGCTCAGTTGAGGCTCAGAGTCTTCACTTCCCCTTCCAGGCTGTAACAGCAGCAAACTGGAAACAGTTTCAGTCGCTCCGCAGCTTGCAAGGTCTCTGAACTTTTCCTCTCGAGGCTGGAGGCCTCTCCACATCCTTCAGAGGCCAGCAACAGCCTTCTGGAAGATGGACATGGTGGGGGTAGAAATCTCTCCCCTGAACCACTGAAGATCGGAAAATGCTGAAATCCTGAAAACTGAATCCTAGGAGCTGCTTCTGCAGTCCCTTATATTTCTTATCAGAATCTCCACCCCCCAACCCGATACTTTGTTTGCATTTCACCTGGGGCTATTGATCCTCACCAGTAGTCCCCTCCAGAGGGTGCCACTGTAATAGTCTTTGGCTTCAGCCCCCTGTTACATACCAAACTATAGACTCATCAATTAGGTCAATCTTTAATAGCTTCCTAAAAGACTACAAGGATTTTACATAAAAGGACCCCTGTCCACTGTCAGAGTGCAGGAGAAATCCCCCCACACTTCTAGATTCTGCTGAGACTGAATGAATGAGCAAATTAGCATCAGACAGAACAGTGGAAGAAAAAGACCTAATTTAATAACATCCATATGGAGAATTTAGATGGCTCTAATTTCTAGAGTAAATGGGAGCAGATGAGAAGTTTCTGTCCTGTGCTAAGAGACCTGGGGTGTCAAGGAGAGAGGAAGGGTTTCACATGATGAGGAGAGGATGTCTTCATATGACAAAACCTTCCCTGTAAATCTTTGCCCTTTCTTAAGATAGTTTTCTATGAAAAAAAAATGTGTTTCAGGAGGCATTCCTAAACCTAGGTGGTCTCCATTCTTTAAAATAGTAACAGTTACTGAAACACACAGGGCCTATGTTAACCTGAGTTAAGCATGCTAAAATGACACATTTTGGATAAAGCCTAACTGAAACTTTTTGGGAAACCCAACCTCATGCCACTATTTACTAGTCACCCCAAGTTTACGTCACAATTGTTTTTGTTTTTTGTTTTTTGGGTGTTTTTCTTTTTTTTAAAGAAAAAAGTCATCTTGGATATTTCCTGACTTTTTTTTTTTTTAAGATTTATTTATTTATGCATACAAGAGCTGGGATACAGGCCAGAGATGTGGGGGGTGAGAGGATTCACCAGAGACAGAGTGGGGAACAGAATAAGCAGATCAACTGAAATACACTGCTGAGGGCAGCAGCGGGCAAGACAGGAGAGGTCTGCTGCTGCGCCTTGTGGGTTGCTCCCTGGCAAGGCCAAGGGATCGAACTTGTGCTGCAGAGGCTGTGGACAACTTCATAAGTTGCATCTTAACTCCTTGCGGCACCAGGGAAGCCCCTTTATGTCACAATTGTAAGTTCTCTAAGGAGTGACTGAAATCAAAGTGAAGTTGCTGTAGGCTGGGCATCCGATACAGGGACAGACAGGTGGCCTCCTGCCATTTGCAGGGTCCTTTAAGGACACAGGAGAGTGCAGGTGGGAAGGATTTGATGTAGCAAAGCATTTGGGTTGAGAAGGAACATCTCCCTCATTCACCTCTTTTGTCCAGGTTTATTTTAATCTTTTTGACAGAGCCCCAGAGACACTGTCCTCATAATAAAGGCAGGGGAGATGTGTCATCCCAGACATTAACTATGACATTTGTCTAGCTCATGTTTGTGTGTCTCCATGCTAGGTATTTACAGTATCCTTGCAAACAACTTCAGAAAAACTGCAGGAAAAAAAAGTGTTTAGGAAAGAAAACATGCACAAGATATACTTTTGATTCACTAAAAAATAAAAACTAGTTTTTTCAAAGGTTTCAAATAGGTTTTTGAAAACTTTCATTTTGAATTTCATGTTATTAGTGTTTCTTAAAGCACAATACCTACCTGCATTGTGCTGGGTGATTTTACATACGGTATCTCATTTTTAATCACTTCCAAAGTTAATTGTGCTACCCTCAAAGGCATTATTATTCCCACATGTAGCTGAATGGATTGGGAAGCAAGAGGCAAACATAGTCACAAGAGCGACAGAAGTCTGAGCTCTTATTCCACATGATATCAAAGGTGGGAGAGGCTTCGGAAATCCCCCATTCACATTACTTGTAATCTACTTACTTTGATATGATATGGGAACCAAACCAACGCACCTATTCAAATTGCTTGTGTTTACTATAGGATTATTTAATATAAAAAAAGGTTGTATCCAAGATAAGATCATGTACTCTAGTCACCTATCCAGAATAAACTTACTTGTTTTGAGGAATAGAAGCCACTGTACCTCTACTGAAAAGTTATTCTTTCTCTACTGAAAAGTAATTCTCTGCTTTCGGCTTACCCACCTGAGTTGTTTCTCAACTTTTAATGATGAAGAAATTCAGAACATGCCACCCCAAAATATGCTGCTTTGGCATACTGATTACTTTGAGCTGACTGCTCAAAGGCTGAGGGTAACTTAAGACAATAGTGGGTGCAGGAAGGACTCTCCAACCTCCCCACTTTTTACTTAAAAACCAGTTATAACATTTCTTAATGTTACAGGGCAGGGAGAGGGGCACCCCAGACCCTGCAAACCTGCCTGCACAAAAACATGTAAGACTTTAATGGGAAGGAATTTTAACACAATTAGTAAACAATACAGAAAACACAAAGAATATAGTTTTCAAATCAAACACCCACAGTTACCCATCCCCTTATAGATAAAAGTCCACCCTGAGCAAGGCCCCAAAACCTGCCCCAAGTCTAAAGCACCTTTTAGTAGGGACCCACAGAAAAGCATCAGAAACAACTAGACAAGTCTGGGAGGAAAAGAGGAAAATCAAAACCAAGATAAAAGCTGCCGTTGTTATCCTCCCCACGGTCTCTCACCCACATCTGTGTCACCCAGTCCACGACCAAAAGGTAAGCGCCGTTTCGTCACATGTCTCTCTGCTCCATGTGCCTCGTCCAGGTCTCCTTCTGGCTCTCCATCCTGCTTCCTTCCTTCCTCAGTCTCCTCTGCAGCTGCTTCTTCTCCCTCCTCAGCTCCCCCCTCCTTGGGGTGGGGCAGGAAACCTGGAACTTCCCCCTTTCCTGGGGACCACCCCATTACATTATGAGAAAGGTGCCTTTTCTGCATTGGAAGGAGAAGAGCATTCTTAGCACCAAAAACTGGTGTTGATGCTGAAATGGGCCTATATAAACGAACCTACTGAAATAAACTTTAACTTCCATTAGTTTCCCCATATATGTCCTAGTCTCTGTCCCGCAATTTACTGCCTTTAGTCCAAGCCCCTTTGTCTTTACACATCCCCACGATTTGTTCTATGGTTAAAAAGTATATAAACATTTGGCCCTAATAGCTTCCTCAAGTCTTCATTCTCCTTTTGAAGTCTCCCATGTATAGGTAAATGCTTTTCTCCTGCCATCCATCTTAGGTCAGTTTAATCCTTAGGTCCGTCACAAAACTTAAGAGAGTAGAAGTAAGTTTTTCCTCTCCATAAAACAACAAGGATCCTGGGGTCTTGTTGAAATGCAGGTTCAGGTTCAGAGGTCTGCAGTGGGCCCCAAGCTTCTGCCTGCTACTCCTTTCCCAGGTGCTAGCCCAGAGATGGCCCTTTGCACTCCAATAGTCTGGCTGGTGTTAAAGTTCCCACAAGTGATTTCATTCTTTTCCTGCAGATAGATCCCCAAAGAGACCCTGGTAAGCTCAGTCCAGGGGTGGTGGTAGCCGCTTGGGGCAAGGAGGGAACTTGCAGCCAGAGGCCCTGTGCATGTGGATGCATGAGGTGCTTTGGGCAGACGAAGGGGGGTGGGAAACAATGGAATTGCTGGGTGTCTAATGGCTGAGAGGGTGTCAGGGGTTGGAGGTGAGAGGGGGCTGGAAAGTGAGAAGCACATAGAAATGTGAGTAGGATAAATATGTCTAGCTAAAATTGTGTTGAGAAAGCTAGACACTGCTTGAAACCTTTTAGGGAATAAAGGTGTGATAGAAACAAAAATAAGTGAACTTAGGGCTTTTGTTTTTTGTTTTTGATATTATTTTATTTAACTGACCTCCATAAGAATTTGGCAAAAACATATTCCCCCAAAGTCATAGTGTGCAAAGCTGAAAAATGACCCTGGGATCCAAGTCCCAACTTGTCCTAAATGTCCTCTTCTTCATCCTTATGGGATGACCAGACCACAGAAAACTGAGGGACAAATGCCTCTCCCAATCCCCCCAAACTTTTCATGCCCCCAAATGAAAAATGTTTTATAAAAAATTTTACTCAGAAATTGTGAACATTTTTTGAGTTTAGCACAAGCATTTTAATTATCTCAAAATACACAGAAACTCTTAACTACATGCAAAGAATTTTTTGAAAAAATTTAGAGGAATAGACATTTATGAGTCCAAATGGCTTCTCCCATCCCCATCAACTTCACATCCCAGAGATGCCATTTGTTAAAAGTAATAACAATCTTAGAATCCTTCTTTTTTTTTTTCTTTTGGCGTATAAGAACTGGGGTATAGGTCAAAGGCATGGGGTGGTGAAAGGATTCACCAGAGACAGAATGGGGTGCAGAATAGGCAATCTACTGAAATACACTGCTAAGGGGAGCAGAGGGTGAAACAGGAGCGGTCTGCTATGCCATATGTGGGCTAGCTCCCTGGCAGGGAATCAAACTCAGGCAGTAGATGTGATAGTGCTGAGACTTAACCCCTAGGCCACCAGGGAGGCCCTAGAATCCTTCTTAATAATACATTATAACAATCCCATTGTCCAGGGAGACAAATAAGCAAAAAACATCATGTCCAAAGATAAGTCCTGTGATCTATGGAGGTGACTTAAAGGGAGTCAAAGAGCTTGGAAGAGCTACTATTTAAAAATAACTACAAATAAACCATCTTGCATATGATCCCCATGTAAGAGAAGATTCTCTAAACTGAAAAGTAATTCTCTGCTTTCAATTGACCCATTTGAGCCAACTTTCATTCAGCCCCAGGTGGTAGGAAGTCAGGTCACCAGAAAATGTGACCTGGTTGAATCTCCTCCTTCATTTGCCACCGCCAGCCTCAAGACCCAGGCCTCCTTTTGAAACAAAAGCTTCATATTAGGAACATGCAGTTTTTGGTTGTTTTCAATTTTTTCTTTGTTTTTGGTGTTTTCTTTCTAGCTGCAGATTTGTCTAATTTCTTACTCGCAGAAGAAGTCAATATCCTGGGGGCGGGGAAAACAATAGAAATGATTAAAATAAGTGGGCAGGAACTGAAAACAGATGTGCTTTTTCTTTATTTAAAATCACACACACACACACAAAAATAAAATAAAATAAAATCACACCTAACCACAGAGAAATTTGAATTTGGAATAAGTTAAGGTTGAATCCCCCAAAGTATGACATAATTACCACTTTAACTCAAAAACTACTTAAAATGATGGTTCCCAAACACGTTTTTAATTATGGTTATTTGACACATTCAAGTTTAAGAAGCCATGACAAGTGGGCACCATTTGTTCAGGCTGGGCAATGTTTTGAAGTTATTCAGCACAACAATTAGCTCCAGGAGAATAGCTTCAAAACAACCACCTTGCAAAGTTACTCAAAGGGGATCTTTATTTTTGTCCTGCATTTATAAGACCTCAGGGCATTGGAAAGAGTATAATTTTTTACATACAAAGAAAGAGTCTATCCACCACAAAATAAAGCATTCAAGGATTTTTCCAGAATGTTTTGATTTTATTAAATAAAAGTGCGTATTCTTCTCCCAGCCCAATAAATAGACTCATTAAATAAATGCAACCACTTATTTATAGTAAGATCCATTAATACTATTTTGGTAACTTTCTTTGTGACATGGACCCTTTCCAAATAATTGGGATTTGAAACAAAAGGACTTCAGTGGAGAAAGCTGCCCAATCTTTCACCATTGATAACAGCTATAAATTCTCTTGCAGAGCTGGCTGTCTCACTGGAAGTGGGGGCTTATCTTGAAGCATCTGAGTTGCATGATGCGTTATCCACCACTAGCTTATATTACCCCGAGATCTGGCACCTAGGTCCACCACACTGAGATGCTCACCGTGGTGGGGACTTCCTTAGTGGCGTCCAGGTACACATGTTGCTCCTCAACCAAGTTCCTGGGGAAATAGCCCACGATTCCCATCTCATCCTCTTGGCGATCACCATAAACCTGAGTGCCCAGAAGTGTAACAGTCAGGGGAGAAATGGCTGCAGTTCTCAACTAGACACCCTTAGGCATCGCATTACATTTAATGAAAATTACTAACTGCCAAAGCCTTGCTTTTCACTCTGGATTCCAGAGGCCCAGAGCCAAATTTGAAGTTCACTAAGAGCAACTAAGTTATCCCACAGAAACTACCTATCTATTTATTCCTTTGTGGCTTAGTCTTATTGGCCTCACTCACTGCTTTAACATTCCTTTGTTTTCTGCCATCTTGTGAGCAGCCTGAAATCATTTTTTTTTGGAAATCATCAATAACTACAGTCAGTAAATTTTGTTTAAAAGTAAATAGACACTTTTATTTAAAGGACTCTTATTTCTCATTATTAAAGTATTTAAATAAATATAAATGTAAGTGAATTTCAGATTTAATTCTTTATCATTAGAGACCCTATCTTCAGGGCTGTAGATGAGGACAGTAAAACAGTCCTGAGTCATCCTTCCCCAAGGCTACTCCTGAATGTTTTAACCATCAAAAGCAGATTCTTTGGAATTAAAGAGGATGCTAGAGTTTCCCTTAAAATATTGAAGCTTAGACTGACTGCCAACACACATGCCTTTTAGTTGGCAAATCCCCTCAAACATTTTTGAATGAGATTCAAACTCTTCAGGATGCTCAAGATCCCATGTGTTTAACTTGCTCTTCTTGCCAAAATATCACATAAACCTACATTTGGTTCTGTTATGAAATTATCTTTGTTGCTTTAAAATGCAATAAAATTAAATACACATTTGTATATACAACCTCTACATTGTTCTTATCAGTTAATTTTAGACATTGAAATGCATTGCGAATAGGTTAAAAAAAAAAGGGAAAGTTTAGAGCAACATGTCAAGATAAACGTTTTTTTAATTATCTGATCTTACACTGCCAGCCCAAAATTCTCCAGCTTCATTTTCTTTTACCAGCTTTGAGTAAACATAGATCTGCTGCCCTTTTTTAATGTTAATGAATCTACAGTCAGAGGCATTGTAATCTTCTTGTGCTCTGGCCAGAGAAATAGTATCTAAAAAAAAAAAACAACATTGAAATGACTACATTTTAGGCAACTGAATTCTACAACAGTAAAAAGGCAAAATATCAGAAAACTAAGGAATCAGAGTGACTAATATCTCACAATTTATAGTTCTTGTTCAATTCAAGAAGAGTAAGATATCCAAAGTATGAAAGCTGCATGCAACAGTCTTAGGAAAGTGGATTCTCCATAGTAAGACACTAACACAAGAGTAGGAGGAATCAATGCTAATCACATATGCATTGGAGAAGATTCACTTGGAAATAGTTAGGCTTATGCTATTAGTGTATATCTTTTCAATTATATCCTAGAAAAATAATGAAAGGCATAAAAATGTCCTTACACACACACTCGTCATCTGCACAGAGCTTCTTGGAAGCAAGTCTGTCCATAAATATTCCATGCACCACATATATAGCCGCGAGTCCTGAGAGGAAAAGTAATAGTCTTGCCATCTTCCTTTTCTGCTGTTTTTGCTGTTGATGCAGTCCTTCAACTAGGAGTGGAGACCAGCTGCAGCGGTTCCTGTCTTTTATGTGAAAGCCAGACATCTGGGTAAATCCCTGAGCCAATGGGAAGGTGTCTATGATACCTCTTCTTTCATAACAGCTACCAGGCTCCAGAGGCCATTTAGCATCTCATTTTCCAAAGAGAGTCAAACTCCATGTCTTTTTTATACATGAATAATATCCAAAATGGTCCATCCTTGTTGAAGCATCTTTAGCTGTGGCTTGTTTATCAGCAGGGTACTGTTGAAAGATCTAAGAGAATTTTAAAACTTTAAAAAAAAATTTTAACTCAACTCTCATATTTCAACCTATGAGCAAAGATGGGCTAACATAAAAAGACTGAAAATATGAGATCTGTATCTTTAATACAAATAATTTTGATTTAAACAAATCCAATCAATAATCATATGGATTTATGTACTAGACAAATGAAAAATACCTAAGTTTACAAAGTATGATAGGAGTCTTGGAAGTAATGTCTCTATTGGGGCGGACATGGATTGTAACACATTAGTTGTCACATATAAATCCTAACAATGGGAAAAGGAAAGATTAGGTATAATGGGAAAAATGGAACAATCTTTTCCCACCTCCTCTATCTGAAATTCACTCTCAAAATGCTCATAGACATTGGACACAGGGAGTAAGGCTAAAGGCTTGTGTTGCTCACACCTTTTCCCTGCTTCCCATTTTCTTTCTCATAAATAGAGGGCCACTTCTAGGAGTCACCAAAGTTGGAGCACTAATACCTGGCCGCATCTTGTCAGCAAATATTTGCTGAGCACTTACTATGCACTAGGTACTGTTCTTGACACTAGAGATACTAGTATATGTACTATAGTGGATATATTACATATAGTACATTATATATAGTAGATAGAGTATGCTCTGCCATGAACTAAAAAGAAACAGGCCCCAATGTTTTACTCTCTATTAGAAAAGACAGCAATGGGTTATTGCTTTTTAGAAAACCCTTGGGGAAGTCATCTCTCTCATCAGCAAGCCACCCCCCATTATTTCTAGAATAGATGCTACTGTCAGGATGTCCTGTCCAACTTGGTTAGTGACAAAGTTTCAGAGCAGAACATTTTCCTCCCTCCCCTAATGTGGTCACCTCATAAAATGAGGGACAGGCATTCAACTTACAAAGTAATTTCTATAAAAATTTTTAATAATCCTACTTTAAAAATGTTTATCCCTTTTCCAAGGTATAAATTAGTAAGGCAAGTATACTTAAAATATAAAATTTGATTGGTGTGTGTGTGTGTGTGTGTGTGTGTATGCATGTGTTCACATGTGAACACATGCACAGTATTTTCAGAGAGAATTTTTTATACAGCTGATTTGGAATTTTGGTTAATTCAGTATCTCCTTCGTAGTTGAGGAAATGGAGGCCCTCCACAGGCTAGAACTACTTTTCCAACCACTCATCTAAAGATTGGGATTGTAATCCAGTGCTTTTTCCATCCATTCTCTGTCAAGCTACAATTGGGATTTCTAATCCTTTATTTCCTGATTCACTTCAAGCACAGGATGAATTGGAAATCACTTTTGATAGCAGAAGGCTAGTGTGTTTTTCCTTCCTATGCTCTAGGGACTTAAGCACTGATTATATTGTCTTGATCCTGATTGGGCAGCTGGTGAAGAGTGTTAGAATTTCAAGCCAGTCTTCAGCACAGGAGAGTTAAAAGACTATTGCCATTTTCAGAGGCACTTTTAAGAAATGAGGATTGCACAAACTCAGATTGGCACACACATTACAAGCCCCCTAAAGTAGAGTGAAATGTTGAATTAAGCTGCATCCAAGCTATCACAACAGGTTAGCAAAGTGACGACAATGCTATCAGCAAAGCAATTGGTCATTTGAAGGTGAAGTGAAGAAGCAATCTCAATTCTTAACGAGTCCTGGGCAGGCGGAGATGTCCTATTGCTTTGCCATGGGCAGAAACAGGAATGAGACCCTTAGAAATCTCTATGTAAAGTTTGCTTATTAGCAATTTAAGCTTGAAATCAGCAAGAAGCTATGTCTGGCAGATCTGCTAGACACTGCTGGGGGTCCAGCGCAGGCTGCCCTGAGCTTGCTTACTTACTCTTCCAATTTTTTTTATATATTCTCTGAGTCTTTAATTCCCAAAAGGCATTTTTCCCCCTTCAGTTTCTAAATTTGCTTCTCGATCTAGAGTTCTTAAAATGGAGACTGTGGGGCCTTCCTGGTGGCGCAAGGGGTTGAGCACAGCACTATGAGGCTATCTGCAGCCTCTGCAACATGAGTTCATTCCCCAGCCAGCCAGGGAGCAGCCCACAAGGCACAGCAGACCTCTTCTGTCTCACCCACTGCTCCCCTCAGCAGTATTACAGTATTACAGTCAGTCTGCCTATTCTGTTCCCCACTCTGTCTCTGGTGAATCTTCTTACCCCATCGCACCTCTGGCCTATACCCCATTCTTGTATGCATAAATAAATACATCTTTTAAAAAATGGAAACTGTGGCTCCCTTTAGAGTCTGAAAATAGGCCTGGGCAAGTGGCTAGGGTAGTAGTAGTCTCCTTGCCATTACCTGTAAGGCCCAGCATTGCTGGCAATCTATGAAGTTACTTATCATTCCCTCATTTATTCTGTTCCTGCTGTATCAGCTGTTCTCTACCTTTTGAAAATGTTAAGCTCATTTCATTTCTACTTACAGCCTCTGAGCTCATTGCCTGGGATGTTACTCTAATGTACACTGGCATTCAGGTCTCTAGCCAAGACGTCTCCACACATCTGTTTAGCAGACCCACTCCCACCAGCCCCCACACCCGATCTCACCATCTCATTATGGTGGCACACTGTCCAACATTTCAGCTACCTGACAGGCTGCTTATACACTTAATGGTAGTGCTGTTAACTGACAATAAGACAAAAACTTCGCCAAGCCGGGACCTTGTCAATCTTGTCCATTGTGCTTTCATCAGCACCCAGAAAAATACCTGTACTCATAAGCAGATATCCACTGAAAAAAACACATTATCCACCTGAAATTGTATGTTTAGGTGTATACTTGTGTATGGACTTTTAATTTCCCCTGGAGAAAGTGTCTTGGTTTGATCAGATTTAAGAGGTCCATAATATCCTCTTCATTAACACTCACTGACTAAATTATTTAAGGCAGAAATTTGGGGGTGTTAGGGACTATTCTGGCATGGTCCCTAGACTAGTAACTTTGGCATCACTGTAGAAATAAAGTATCTTAAATCCACCCACAGACTTGATATACTTGAATCTACATTTTTAACAAGACACACATGCAATTTGTAGAACACTATACTTTAAGTACTGCTCCAGGGCAAATCCAATACAGAAGAATATTTAGATAGACCTTCACATTCATTAGACCTTTGCCGGATACATTTTCAAGGGACAAAATACTTGCTAAATACCCAAACAGAAAATACTTTGTCTTGAGGTTTAAAATAGAAATGTGAGCAAGTTTCCATTTTTATAATATCCTCTATTTGTCAATATACTGCCTTTGAAAAGCACAATTTGAGCTAATTATCTCATCATTAGAACCTACTTCATAAAGGCAAAAATCTACTTTATTGGTTCTTAACCTTCGCGCATATTGGAATCATGCAGGGAGCTTAAAAATATTGATGACTGCTCCAGCCCTGGAGATTGTGCTTAATTGATCTGAGGCATAGATCAAATAATGTTTCCCTGGCGGTTCTAGCATACAGCCAAAATTTAGAATTAAGTATAAGTAGCAACATTTACGCCCTCCAATCGAGCACTCCAGGCAACTCCCACTCCCACAAATGCATGAAAGGTCAATCCTAGTTTGATCAAATTTTCAAAGTGCAGTATGTGACTTTCCCTTTCCCCTTTCACCCTCTTGAAGACTTCTATTCTACAGTTTGCTTACCTACAAGAAATTTTAGCAAATAAATACATACACAAGTTAATGGGATTAGTGGAGAGCATTACAACTAAGAGGAAGGGCTAGAATAAACTCAGCTGTTGGATTGCAAGTAGAGATATTGCTATAAATTATTTGGTAATGTAATTGTATGAATACACACATTTTAGAGGGATAGCTCCACATAAAATTAAGATCATGAAAGGTAAGGATGGGGTGATGAACAGACTAAAGAGACATGACAACTACACATAAAACATGATCCTGGATTGGATTCTTTGGCCATCATTGGTACCTCAGCAAAATTTGAATGAGATTGGATGGTACTATAGGGTTAAGGTAATTTTCTGAATTGGCTGGTCATATTGTAGACATGTAGAGTGGTTTCATACTTAAGAAATATACATTGAAGTAATCAGAAATGCAGTTAATGGCTCAGATACATTTATGGGAGTTCTGTATAATACTTAACTTTTGTATGTTAGAAATTTTATCATACATACAAGATTTCGAAAGTAAATCAGTTGTCACTCTTTCACTTGAAATCTAACAGGTATCCACTTGACTTGTATGCAAATGTTCATAGCCACATTTTTCTGATCCCCAAATTGCAATGAACCCAAATGTGCTGACCCACAAAACAAAGTGAACCTCAAAAATGATTTAGACAGGACAGCTACGTGACAGCAAGCAGATCAATGGTACTTAAGATTGGGGCTAAGAGAAAACTGACTGCAAAGGGCTGCAAAGGGGAGTTCTGAGGTGTTATGGAATACTCTACTTCTTGATGACTCCATGACTCACAATTGTCAAAGTTCATTAAACACTGGAATGGATCAATTTTTAAAATCTTCTAATAGTTCTCTATTTCACATGGAGCATAAGGAAGTCCTTAAAAGGGTCTACACAATCCCCTCCTACTCTCTCCCTCCCTTCCTCCATTTCACTCCTCCCGCACTGATCCACTTCCTCTCAAAGCAGCCAAGGCTGGTCTGTGAAACATTTTCTGTTCTGATGAACAGTTTAAATAAAATGCTAAAGAAAATAAACTTTGGGAATATGTGAACAATGATGTTTTAGAATTACAAAATGGTAGCAAGATCAGGATTGGCAATGTTTTGCAGTCTATTAGTCTAAAAGATATAGATTAAAATCTTTCCCTTGGAGGTATTAAAGAGGTTAGATTTTAACCAAGCAGCTGCTTCTTAGGAACAATTCTGCTTCTAGAGGATGAGCATAAAATGTGAAGTTTAAAGTCCTTTCCCTCAGTTTCCCAGAAAAAGCTAAGGACAGTTAATCTTAAATGGCCTTTATTCAATTAAACATTAATCAAAAAGACTTGTGAAATGCCTACTACCAGCAAAACACTACCCTCTATCCTTCTTATCCTCCAAAACACTACTATTTGAAGGATAAGAAGATCAAATTTAGAACCTGCTCAGGTCTCATTTCCACCTAATATCCAGGATGCCTATTTTTACCATCCATGTGAGCCAACTACTGGCCTGTGATCTAGTTCTTTACTTATGTTAAAATGGTTCAGTGTATCTCAACCACTAGCTGCTCAAAAATAATACTAGAAAAACATTCTATTATAGTTGCATATACCTTAAAATGTGTTCTAGACTAGCATATAACATTTGATAGGAAAGTGGGTCAGCAAAGCATTATGAATGTGTAGAATACAAATAGAAGTTTATTGTACAAAATTCAGGGCTTCATATTTCACAGCTCACTAAGGCTGAAGAAATACTAGTAATGTTTTTAATCCTTCACAAATTTCAATTTCTCTATGCCTCCCCTTCCCCCACCCCAGGTCAACTATTAAAAATAACCTGCTCAAATGATGTTTATGTTATAAACAAACACATAAATAATACCAAGTCCTTTTTAACACAACTATCCCAAAATTATTTCTTGGCATAAGTGATCTTCATGGCATGGGATGGTGTGATCTTAAATCCTTGTAATGCATCCCTGGCAGCTCCAGCTTGTCCATCGTTTTCAAACTCAACAAAAGCAATATCATGCCTCCCAGGTACCAAACGTACTTCCTTGAAACCAGGGAACCTATAAAGAAAAAGAAAAACAATTCACACATACACATCAATATGTAAATGACATCAGATACATAAATGTCTATTTTTATGTTTAAATAGGCAACTTCCAGATACTGATACAGGTAATCCTAGAAAGAATCCTGAGTAGGATGAAAGAACCTAAAACATAACTAATATCATGACAGAACTACAGGAATAATGTAAGCTACTTCCACTTTGATCATTATATCAAAGCTCTGTTTTCTGTTTTACTCACCAAACAGAAATAATTCAAACATTAGGAGTTATTTTGGCTTTTTATTTGCTAAATCTGCAGACTGGCTTATATTCATAACTAATCCTAGACTACACCAATGAACCTGTAAGGATGTTGTATGATACACAAATGGAGTCAATCACAGAGGGAATGTCTGTTCTGTCAGAAGGCGCTCAGAATACATACTTGTTTATGAAAACTTACTGGTTAAACAGCATGGATAACATCATCTCATTAGTCTCTTCTGGTAAATTATTAAGGAATAAAATATAGTTTGGAGGGTAATCAGGGACCTATTAAAAAGAAAAAGGACAAAGTTAGTTTTGTGTAAAAGGTCTTGTAAGTCACTTGGCTCTTACTAACCTAAACTTCCAGGAGCTATATTCCTTTTCATTAAGGCTTATGAAATCATACCACATTGAAAACTAAAGCTAAAAAACGAAGAAATCAGACAAATAAGTATAAATCTAACAGTAACTAATGAAGCAGTTAAATAACTTAATAAAAATTTGGACAATTACAAATATTAACAGTTTTTAAAGTATTTGATTAAGAGAATTTAAACCAATATTTAAGTTTCAGGCATCCAGAGGTGGGTCATAACTGGAGAAGGTAATAATGTGATCCACCCCTCCTCAGCTGGTTCCTCAAGTAGTAACATTCAGATACTCAATTTCTCTGTACCATAGTCTACATTCCAAGCCTAAAAAGTGTGGGACTATTATGATTACCACTTAGAATCAATAGTGACCTTTATAGTGTTTTTTGCAATTAATAAGATACACATAGCATGTAGTAATATACAAGTAAGTAGGCACAAGAACTGTTTCTAGTTATTAAACTACATATACTGACACCTTACCCTAACTTAGGGGGAACACTTTAGGGACTTGTATACAGGAAAAAAACCTCTGCATTTTAGGTGGATTTGATGAAAGAGAAAAGATGAAGTGTATAGAACAACTAGTGGCAACTTAAGGCTTAGAGAATTAAGTGTTTGCATTTGTGAAATGGATTATAATTGTTGAAAGAGTTAAAGAGAAAAGTACATATTATAAGAAAATGCAAATAACTTAAAATCAGAGGAGAAAAACCTCTGGTTCCAATGAAACAATTAGTAGATAATTAACCTTTCTCTTTGAGGCCTTTAGCAAGGAGATCTGGTGAAGAGTTTTAAAAACACCTACATAAGGAGACTTAAATATATCTGTGTTGTGGAATTAAGAGCAAGGGTAAATCTAAAGCAGTATTACTCAAAGAGTATGAGTTCAGAAGAAACAATGTTTTAGCCACCTGGCATCGCTGGCCAGTTTCTGCAAGTCTTTTTTCCATAAAGCTCTGGGAGGACAATCAAGGAAGCAATGTTGGGAAAAGAACGATTTTGCTCCCTGCCTTCCTTCACAGAGTTTAAAATCTCACATTTTGGCTCCTCTTTTCCATTATGGAAAGCAAGGAATAAAGCCAAGGTTTGTTTTTTCCCTCTTAAGGAAGATTAACATGCTTTGAGGAATGAGTTTCTACATTAAAGTGTTATATAATTTAAGATGCTATGTTTACAGATGGAATTATTTTTCAGTTTCTAGAAATATGCAGGTTGTAATTGTTGTTATTGTTTTATAATTTCATTTTACAGTAAGTACCACATGGAAAAAAAATTACCTGAGGATTTGGCGTTGCATTTCCCTGAGTATTAGCTGAATTTAGTGTTCCCTGAACAAAATAGAAAAACAGTTAAAACCACCAACCTCTCCAAAACAAAGCAGATGTTTATAATTACTGTATAAAGGTTATATTAATTTAAACAGATTTTTAAAATTCCATTTATTTTTATTCGAAGAATTTGTATCTTAACTGACTCAAATATTCATGTATTTAATTTTTCAAATATTTTTGAAAGGTTGAGCCCTAAGCTTTAAAGAGTGCTATTATGTCATAAACCTAACCTGCAAGCTTTAAAATTATGGTACAATACATGAGAGAAACTAAGGACCCGATTTTCTAACTTTTTTTTTAAACAATTAGACAAACGTTAAGATTATACTTAGGAAAACTGATTTCTAATTACTTTTCAAACCAAAAGTTAACTACTTTTTGGGTGACAATTCACTTTAATATGGTATTTTAAATTAAATTTAAAATGCCTGAATTGTTCAAAGAAAGCAGCTTTGATTAAAGATAGTATCTACAGTATTATGTGTAGGCAACAGAACTTGAGAAATAAGCCAACTGATTTTGGATAACGATAAAAATGTCATGCAAATTCAAATAAAAGGGTTTGACATAAATCTGCAAAAGACGTATTTTAATTTGTTGCTTCCATATCAATATTGAAATTTTAGAACTCAACTATTCTTAAAAATCTTTCTTTCAAACACACACACACACACACACACACACATACACACACACTGCATGTTTGCCTCAAAGATCACCCTCTGAAGGCAGACATCCCTTATCACATTTTTAACACACAAAAATAAAGAACTTTTGCCCCTCTTACCTGACCAGGCTTTTTGTTTGCAGTTGTTGCAGTCTGTTCTATAGTTTTAGCTTTTTTCTTTTCCTTCTTCTTTTCTTTGTCAGCAAAAGTACCACGCATTTTAGATATTATATCAGAATCTGTCTTTGCATACTGGATTCGCTGTTTTAATTGTTTGAAAACAGGTTACTTTTCATTGTGCTGAAGGCTATTTATACTAGCCATGAATATTTCATATTTCATTATCAAACACATAACAAACTAATTTTAAAGACATCCCTAAGGAATTCTGTCACCAACACTGAATGCCAAATTCAAGTATTAATAAATCATGGCCTACAACTCACAACTTAAACAAAGTTAGATTCAACTGTGTTTAAGAAAAACGACGTATTTTCATCTGGGAAAAAAAAAGACTGAAGTATCCACACCACTGCTTCTTTCCATTTACTAACACAATATAAAGACAACTCTGGTGGAAAGCTGTCTATTCCTTAGCAGGGACTCTCAACAGAACAGACAAATGTGTCCATTAGCTGCAGAATGTATGACAGTGGTGTTGCTGCTTCCAAAATCAAAGTAGTAAAGAATGACTTCCCTTTGAATCTGCGCTATTATTTTAAAAGAAATGACCAATCGTGGCATCTACTTATATATTTAAAATGCTTTGAAAGGATGAAAAAATGGCATCACTGTTAGTACAAGCAGGCCACTCACGTAGTCTTAACTGTCACAGTCAGCAGAAATAGTATGCAGCTGAGACAGCAAGCAAGTGTTGAACATTGAACTAGGACAGAATTTTATAGACTTTAATTGTGAATTCCAATTACCTAGAGAGTTAATCCAAGTGCAGACTCTGATGCAGTAGGTTTGGGTGGGGCCTAAGACTTATGACAAGTACAAAGGGAATGCGGGTTGCACATGCCCCTAGCTGCAAGCCCCTACCTAGCCTATGGAGTATTTCACTGTGGTACAGCTAGACTCAGTACCAATTAACGGTCCTAAATTTTTTGCTATGAGTTAAACATCTAGAGTACACCCATTCGTAAACTGCAACTTCTATTTCAAGGAAACATTTCTTTCCTAGAGTCTAAAAAAACAAAACTACCTCTCTGATCTCATCAAAATATAATAGTCTACAAATTACTATCTAAAAGTGTCTTATGTACTTAGAATTTAACCTCAGTCTGAAGGGAACAACTGACATTTTGAAGTACTGTGGGCCTTAAAAGCAAAGACACTATCAAATCCAAGAGCAATTCTTTCCTTTCTCATTTCAGCCAGAAATGAATACACTGGGGAAACCTCAGAACCAGACACATTCTCTGGCAGCTCTGGGCTGCTCTACGTGTACTTGCTCCTGCCAGCAACTTTTGCACATCCACCATCAAACCAAAAGGAAAAGGCTGACAGCTCTGACTAACTGTGACGTGGCACCGGGGACTCCCTCCCAACTATCTTGGGTCTTCAACTTTCCCTCTGACCTAAATAGACCTTGGGTGACCGTATGACAGTTACTTGTGAAAATCGGACCTCAATCATCACACTTGTCTGGCTGGTTTAAACCAGTAGTTCTCAATCAGTTTACTTTGTCCACCAACTGACAAGCTTGCGCTAGTGACTAGAGATGTTATAAATAAAGGCAGAGGCCAGAATGCTTTAAATGCAATGAACAAGATAGCCCCCCCAAACAAAAAGTTTTTTAGTTCTAAATGTCAAAAATGCCAGAGTTGGAAAACCCCACCCTAGACTATACTGACTATACTGATAAGGAAGAAAAGTCCTCCCACAACTTAGAGAAGGGGAAAGATTTACATTTATGCCAAAGGTTTCAGGACAGAAGCTCTTAGGGTAATGGTTCAACTTTACTGAGGTATTTTTGCCATAAAATTACCAAATGTCCTTGAATCTCACAGGAAAATTTTACTCTTGAGTTTCAAAGTCTAGAAAATTTTTATCATTTCTTGTCTGGCATGTTGGAATTGTATCAGACCAACATCTAAAACCACTTTAAAATAAATACAAAGAGAACTTCTTTCTCTTCCAAGATACTGGAGATTTGGCAGAATCTACTATATTTTTGAGTCAGAAAATTGAGCTCCTAAAATATCTTTAATATGAAGATAGCCTAATGAATTTTTTCCATTGATTTAAAATGATTAGTTGGCAAGGTAAAACTGGGCACAATATAGCAAGAAACTTCCAGCTTTCCTGTATCTGAGTAATAAGGACATGCAAACTTGTCATCTCAAGTCAGCAAACTATTTCCTAAAGGAAGAAACTGTTCTTTTGTATTAACATAATTTGAGACCTAAGTAAAACCCAGTCTTATGCGCCTGCCAATTCAGATCTCATTTATGCTTTTTCTTCACACGAAGAAAGGTAAACTAGTTTCAGGAAATGCCAATTTATCTAAAAATTAGAGTATGTGGGTATTGTTTTCCAGTTTCCGGGGTGGACTGTTCCAAAGAGATGGTGCCCAGTCACAAAGGAAGAGATGGGAAAGGAGAATTGGATAGAGGAAAACTTGCTCCATTAACAGAGGAAAAAATACTCACCCTGAGTTAAATAGTGTGACGCCAAAGCCCTGAAACTACTGACTACGCCAATACTGCCTCTTTCTATAAATGAGGTCTTCCTAGAACTTAGCCACGAGCATTTATTTGCAAACTATCTATGGCTGATTTTCCTGCTATAAATTCCAAATTCTGTAGTTGTGACATAGAGTATCTGGCTTGTAAAGCCTGAAATATTTACTATCTGGCCCTTTACAGAATGTCCTGACTCCTGATTTTGGGAGAACAAAACATTATCGGTGTTAGGAGATTAGCTGCTGCCATTGCTTATATTAACATAATCTAGATTCTTCATTTGTAAAATAAAAAAATTAGGCCAGTGCTGTGCACTATATAGACTATGGGCCAATCCAGCCCATGGCTTGTTTGTGTATGGTCTATGACTTAAGAACTTTTTTTAAAAACAATTCTAAAGGGTTGTTAAACACACCCACCCACATACAAATGAATATGCAACAGAAAACACATGTGGCCCACAAAGTATAAAAAAATTTAGTTATCTGGTCCTTCATAGAGATTTTGCTGACCTCTGAATCAGATTAAAAACAGCCAACCTACGTACACAAAGCTGGTAAAACTAAACACAGGCACAAAGGCAGTTAATGGCAGAACCAGAAGAGGACTCAGCTCAGGCCCTTGGAACTCTCAGCCTACATTCCTATCACATTGCAATTCCAGAAGTAAAGCGCAATGGAATCCACACCCAAAGTACTGTGTACTCACAAGTGGAGAACTCCTTATTTTATACTGTCTCCACCTCGACCCAATGCTTTTACCATCTCTGACTTGTACCTGAGCCTCCTAGTTGAATTCCCTACTACTTTATTTCTGATTCTCCCATAGTCCAGTCTTTACGCAATAGCTAAATGTGACACTCATGTCATTTTGCAAGTTTAATACTTTCCATGTGCCACTACTTCATTTCCATTCATTATTATTCTCTAATAAACCTATGAATTCCAACATACAAATTTTTCCTAGGTCACAGGTTTATCTAACATTTCATAGTTTCTGTTAACATAGTATTTCAAAATGATATAGAAAGAGTAGATATCTTCCTTGACCCATGATTTTTGTAATGTGTTGTTTTACAAGTTCACAGATTTCTTATCAACCTTCTGAGTTATTTTAATGTGTAGTGTAGTTTTTTGAGAAAATTACTTACAATTTCATTATTTTTTAAATATTCTACACCTCGCTGTACTTTGTAGATTGATAATAAATTAGGTGGATTATAAATTCTACTAGCCGTTCTATAAAAATACGTCAATATAAAATAACCCAAACGCACTCTAACACATACTTAAAAACAGAAGCAACAGCCACGGTTTTAAGTGTATATTTATAAATCTACCATACCATTAATGGCAATTAATGCCCAAATAATAAGATGAACTTACCATTGGTTTACCATAAAATGGAAATCCTTGTAACTGTCTCAAAGCATTTGTGGAAGAGCCCAGTTCCTTAAATATAACAAAGGCTTGCCCCCTCATTTTCATTGTCTTTAAAGCCACAATATCTACCACATGACCAAACTGAGAAAACAGGGCATATAGAGATCGCTTCAATTCTGCGCAAAATTAGAGAGAAAATAAGTTATTTGTGAATGAAACAATGACAAAATTCTTCATAAAATAATATTGCATTGAATGCCACCCACACCACTAACAAAGTTACATAGTTTAATATCAAAAATTTCCAACTAACTGAAAGTATTATTTAAAACCATTTTCCTAAGCTAAAACAAATCCAACAGATTTTCAATCCCCACATACTTTTATTGTCTGAAAGTCTTAAAATTTTTATACAAGAAGGAACAAATCATTGTTTCAAATATTGAGAAAGATGACTAAAGGGCAATCTTGAAGCAGTACAATTTTTTTTTTTTAAGATTTAGTTATTTTATACAAAAACCGGGGTACAGGCCAGAGGTGCGGGAGGGTGAGAGGATTCACCAGAGACAGAGTGGGGAACAGAACAGGCAGACTGACGAGATATACTGCTGAGGGGAGCAGTGGGCAAGACAGGAGAGGTCTGCTTAGCCATGTGAGATTCTCGCCGGCTGGCAGGGATCAAACCCGCGCTGCTGAGGCTGCCAACAGCTTCACAGCGCCTCACTCAAGTGCCTGCACCACCAGGGGAGGCCCGAAGTAGTACAATTTTTAAGACAGTGGAAATTAAACACACAATGGTTGCGAACAAATATTTTTAAAAGCACTTACCTTCTTTTTTGATTTTGTCATTCATATTATTGATATAAATTGTATGATTCGGTCTGATATCCATGTTCTGTGTTCAATTGGTCAAATAGTCTAAAAAGACAGAATAGAGTATTATAAACATGGAAAAGTATTTCATATGTAGTGTGTCCTAGGGACACAACTCAAGGTCTATTAACTTTTCAATTTTCTTTCAAACCCAAATGTCAGAAAATATCAGTATGGCAGTAGTCTTTAAAATCTCACCAGCGGTTGCTGGCTTCATTTTAACCAAACCGTTCTCAGGTTCAAAACTTGCAGAAACACCATCTTAGAGCAAGATTTTAATAACATTTTATTCAGTACAATTATTTTTAAACTTATCTTTCACTTGTGACAAGTGATAATGCTTTTCATGTGCCTAATGAAATAGCTTCTTTTTCTAACGAAAACTTAAAACTGAATAACTTGAAGAAAAATGAAAAACTAACAAATGTACACCCTGTAAATCATTTAAAACATCAATGTTTACCAAGCACATTTACTAAGCACTTTCATACCTATTTATTTATGTATTGCCATCACTAGTTAGACTGACTTCGAGATTAACTGCCATTCGCTTGAAAAACTGGTGCTCTGTATTGCATGATTAAGAGCTCAGAATCTAATACTAGCCAGATATGAATTAAAATCCTCCCTATGTTTCTTACTAGCTGCATGAATGAGGGCAAGTTCCTTAATCTCTCAGTTCCACATCACTAAAATGGGGGTGGTAATAGCCCCTATCCAGCAGAAATTAGAACTAAATGAGATAAAGTTGTACCATCTAGTTCCAGCATCGCAGCAAAGCACTTAAAACAACTGTAACTAACGGCTATTACAGGTTAAGGAACTTGTTAAGGCACTAGTAAAGCAACAAGCCTGGGGATTCCGCCCGTATCTTCTGTCTCTTGCGATTTTCTTTCACATCTAGCACACCATTTCATTTTTCAATTGTCTTGAGCCGCAAACTGTGAGCTTGCTTTGAGTGTCTCGCATATTCCTTCATTTCACAAATACGCCTGCTGCAGGTGAACAGTGTAGGATGACTGACAAAGGCAGAGTCTATCGACAGGGACTGTGCTTGTGTAAGTAACAGGTAAGGTGCTCAGACCTGCAACCCCCTCAACTGGAACCTGGAGGGCTGCAGTCGCGAAGGTGACAACGAGAGGGAAGTGATGGGTCAAACTGAAGGCGAAGAAATCAGAGAGGAGACCCCTGTAATATCGCAGGTAAGGTCTTCTGGTGGCCTGGATTACTGCGGGGGCACCCGGGCGATTATTCCCCAATTCAAAAAAGAAACTGGAGAACACAAGGAGCTGGAAACATCCGGTACAAGCGGAGAGACATTAGTTATCTACCCGTCACTTAATAAGCTTGTGAACCTCCCGCCTCAGAGACACAGGCGCTTTCGCCCAAGGAACCTGCCCGAAACCCAAAGATGCGGCCACACGATCCACCGCCAGAAATACAGACACGCTCCAGCGCTGCGGGCCTTGCTCGCCACCTCGCTGGGGCCCATCCTCCCCTCACCGCTTCGTGCAGCCTCGCGCGAACCCGCCGCTAAACGAGAGCGGGTCCCAACATCCCGCCTCGTCCACTCGCGGCTCCCACAGTGGAGGATTTCGGCGGAGAGGCCACCACCGCCTGGAGAACAGAAAGAGAGAGGTAAAATGTGTCCCAACTCACCTGAAGTCAACGCCTAGTCCCGTTAAGAATGAAAGCCGGAAACGGAACCAGGCACCGGAAGTAAAGCCCAGGAGCCTCAATCGAGTGCCGACAAGTCAAGAAGTCGAATACGGAGTTGATCGATGCTCCGCGGTTTCAATAGCTGCGCTGGGACTCTCTCTGCGCTTGCGCACACCTGGCGGCGCGGGAAAGGAAAGAGCTCAGTGGAACCACGTGGCGTTGAACTAGACTGTTGGGGGCCTTGGAGTGGTTCCTTTCCCCACCACGGGTCTGGGTGGTAAGGACCATCTTTCCTTATCATATCATATGTGTGATATATATGGGGATTTTTATTTTAAAGGATTATATAATATTTCACAGGTGTACTCCCCCTGTCCCTTAAACCCCATCCCCCCACCCCTCCCTCCCCCCTATCCTCACCCCCCCCCGCCGCCCCCCCCGCCCCCCGCCGCCCCCCCCCCGCCCCCGACACACACTCTGGCCCTTCTCTGGCCTTTGTTGGCTTCCAGGTTTAACATCACCTTTAGGACAACCAGTACCTTCCTCTAGTCCTGAATTCTGAGGGAACTGAACTCTCTTCCAGCTTTCTACTGGTGAATTGGATTCCCAGAGCATCTCAGTATGTGGCCCCAAAGCAAAGTGGAATTGAAAGCTCTGGTTCGCTCACCTGATAAGCCAAGCACATTGGAATAATGACTGATGTTGGTTTAGAGAGTTGTTGGGGGTCCTTGTGTTACCTCTGAGAAGTTTCAACAGACTTCCCCTTTAGCACTCGTGGGGAGTTTTCCCATGAGGCAGACTTTTGGTTATATCCAAAAGGCAGTTTTTTCTATAAAGACAGGAAAAGAGAACACGCTTGCATAGACACAAGTGGTCAGAAAGACTCAGGTTTGTTAAAAGACATGCCTGCATAGACGTAGGTGGGCAGTCTTGGGAGGAGAGCTCCATCCTTGGAAGGTGTAGGTTTAAGAAAGAGATGCCTGCATGGAAACAGGCAGGCAGAAGAGCTGCCCCTAGCCAGGGTAGAAATTGTACTGATACAGAAGAAGAAATTGTTCTTCTTTTGGGGAGGACTTCATTCCTTTGTGGAATGGTTAATATATTGTTAAATTAATTACTTCTAGCGTGTGGTTAGGTTGATTTTTAAGGGGCTGTGATTCTCTAAAATGGTCCTTAATCCCCATATCTCCACCTCTAGTCTGCATCTTCAGATAATTCCTATAGCAGTCTGATACTCACTGCAGCAGTAAGTGCCTAAGGGTTTTTCATTTCTATAGCTGTTTTAATGACTGTGTTAATCATTGCTACCCCCGCTTCCAATTTCTGGTCTTGTGTTGCCTTCATCCTGAATTTTCTGTGTAATGGGGAAGAACTGGGGTGTAGGCAGGAGGTACAGGGGTGAAAGAATTCACCAAAGACAGAGTGGGGAACAGAAAAAGTAGGTATTTTTGAAATACACTGCTAAAAGAGAAGAAACTGGTGAGACTGGAGAGTTCTAATATCGAAAGTGAAGGCTCTGAGGTGCTATTTATATTCCAGGCATCATTGATTGGTTAGAGTGACTAGTCTTGGGTGTGTCCTGACTAATTATATAGATCATTACTTTAATGGCCCAGTTCCCCTGTAAGTCCTATCCACTCCTTTTATCCATTCAAGCCTCCCAAACTTGCTTGCTTGCCAAAGGAGGGCTTATTTTTTAAATTTAGTAATGATACTACAACCTTCTATTCTTAGCCTCCATTAGTAGTCAAACATCAATAAGATCATGTCTAAATTCACTCAAAAAAATATTAGTTCCTGGCCAAGTCCACTTTCTCTCCCCAGAAAATGCCTAGACTGTTCTTTGGTAAAACAATTTTTGCCAAACTGAATAGCAATTCAAAAAGCACACTCAGTCATTCATCATCCATGTATTCAGCTGGAATGTGAAAGAGTTTTTAGGAGCCAAAGGGAATCTAATCATGTATTTGCCTCTTAATCTTTCCAAGTCTCACTTTCCTCATCTGTAAACTAGGGTTGTTTTTGGGTATGTTGGGTTTGGAGAGTGGGGTCCTTGGGTTAGCTCTGGAGAAAGTTTCACTGGAGCTCCCCCTTCAGTGGCATGCGGCAAATTTCCCAGAGGTGTTTCTCCATGAGACAGAGACTTTAGTTATATCCAAAAGGGCAGATTTATTATAAAATAAAGAGAGGGAAGGGTGAAGCATGCTTGCACAGACATAAGCGGGCAGAAAGAGCTGCCCCTGAAAGGGACAGGTTTGCTAAAAGAGGCCTGCAGCATAGTCACAGGCGGGGCAGCCTTGGGAGCAGAGCTGCCCCTGCTGAGGTTGGCCCGTGAAGTGAAGCACCAGTGTGGTCACAGGTCACAGTTGGGCAGGAAGGCTGCTGCCCTGCAAAGGGAGAGAGTTGGCAGTGAGAAGCTCCTGCATAGGCACTGATGGGTGGAAGGGTCACTGCTCCTACTCAACAAAGGAAAAGGTTAGTGAAAAGAAGCACCTGTATTGGCACAGGTGGGCAGAAGGCCTGCTATGCCAAGTGTATTCATCTTCTCTTTGGGAGGGTCTCATTTCTTTGTGGAGTGGTTAATTTTTGTTGATTTTGAATAACTGTTTAAAATCTGAAAAAGACCAGAGATTCTACAGTGGCCTTTGATATCCATAACCTCACCATGCCCAAGCTCACAATGCATATTGCCTTCTTCTGGAATTGTAACAGTATTCTCCCCATGGAAGGCAGTGGTTCCAGGTTCCCTGGCCCACCTAGGGAAGGATGGAGCTGGGCAGTGAGGGGAAGCTAGAAAGGACTTGGGAGAAAAGGCTAGAAGGAAGGAGAGGAGAGGAGGAGAAGATTCTGAGGAGGCACATGCAACAGAGGCATGTGAAGAAGAAGCTGAGCTTGCCTCTCGACCTTGGACTTGTACCAGGGACTTGAGGGACATGGAAGGAGACACTTGAAAGAGACAGATGTTGGTGAGAGACCCCCGGGAAGGCTGACAATGGCAGTCTTTATCTTGACTTGTGTTTTGATTTTGGTCTTTTCTTTCCCAGACTTGCCTTGTCCCTTTGCTTCTTTCCTATGCATCCCCACCAGAAGGTGCCTTAGACTTGTGGCAAGCTTTCAGGCCTCAGCGGTCCTGCTTTGGGCCAACCCTGTTTGGCTGGGCATTTACCCATGAGGGGATGGGTAACTTTGGGTGTTTAATTGGGAACTATTTTAACTATTCTTTCTCTTTTCTGTATTGCATGCTAATTCTATTAAAGCTCTATTCTATTAAAGTTCTTATGCACTAAGAGTATATTGTCTTCATGCAGCGAATGGCAGTACCATTTAGAATGTGTAGGTTTGGGGGCCCTGGAATGATTTTTGTTGTATCCACAGACAGTAACATCTAAAGTTTGGTCACATGGACTGTTGAACAACCATCACTCCCTTATAAGCAAATTTACCTCTTGAGTGTCAGATCAGGAACCAGGTGTCAAAAATTCATGTTTTAAAAAATAACAGAAGTACAAATGGGTTTTCTTGGGATTCTGCCCGGTCCAGTTTCTCATATTTCAGTTTGACTGCATGATTGAATTTCCTGTGAGACAGATATTTTTATGGAGCTATACCCAGAGGCAGTGCTGTAACACCCAAGTCAAGCTTCATGTATCTACCAATGATGGAACTGGCTTATATTAGGAATAGCAGAAAAACTACTTTGAACAGTTGGAAATAAAACTGTGTTAAGACATTTAAGTAATAAGGATGATAAATGAGGCATCTCTTAGTGACTCTGAATACACAAATTTTCCTACCTTATCTGCACATGTTTTATGTTTCTCATTAAATGGTTTCAGTTATTTGGCTGAAGTAGTTTTAAGAGAGGGCCTTGTTTAAAGGTGCAGCATCATAAAACTGTGGTGTATAAATTTTGGTTTATTTATGTTAAATAGAACCACAAAACCTACTGCGATTTATATCTTCTTTCTCTCCCCAGGTGGTGATTACATTAAGAAATTTATGTAGAGTGGAATTATTTTCACAATAAGCATTAAACAAATCTCAGCATTATTGTTGAGCTCCAAATCAGGCTTCCCTTCTCCTAGCTGGTTGGGATTATGTTGACTGAAACTTCCTAAACAGCATCCCTGCAGTTCAGGGAGGAAATCACTTTATGTGATTATTTTCTCACTTCTGTCTTTTTTTTTTTTTCTTTCTAGACAAATTCTTGTTTTAGGGAAGGAAAAAAATACATCAGAAGATTATCACCACTAATCTGTATTGCTGTGTTAATGTTAATAAATAGATATCATTCACATACATGAGAATAATACCAACTCTACAAAGTAGACAGAGTTCTGTCTACTAGAAATAGATTATGAAATAGTTATGAAAAAAATACACATTCCATTCCATTCAGCAGCAGTAGCTAACCCAAAGAAGTGTGAGGGAAAACCTGAACTTCTTTCTGTTAAAATTGTGATGTGATAAGTGTAGGTTTTGCTGAGAAGGATGTCATGTGTTCATCCCCTTAAGTCCACTAAAATAACATGACTGCCATTTCTTTCCAGACTGGGGTGGGGGGTGAAGATACCATTGCCAGGGGACCCAGTTAATAAGTAAAATATTATGCATATAAAATTACTGAGTACAGTAGTTTTGTTATTCCTAAATATCAATGCTGCGAATAGTTTATCTGAAGCTCTATGACATATGAAAATCCAAATGTAAAAGAGGAAGCTTCTTTCCTTAATGTTGAGTTTCAGTTATGTAATTTCAAACATGATAACTATATTATAACTATATTCTTGATTTCCTGGGCAAACCCCAGATATGCTAATCCAGTGCTTCTCAAATATTGCTGTGCACATAGATCACCTATGTGGTAGAGATGGTACAGGGCCTGTGAATCTGATTCACTGCAAGCCTCTGTTGAAGGCGCTAAGCATTTCTTACTTTAAGAATACTAGATGGGGGCCTCCCCGGTGGCGCAGTGGTTGAGCGCTGGGTTGCGAAGCTGCCCACAGCCTCTGCAGCGCCAGAGTAATCCGGGTAATCCCCGTTCCCCGGCCACGGGAGGAGGGTCCCACATGGCGCACA